CTTTGAAAAACAGTGGAGAGGGTGGATTGGAATACAAAAACATATTTATAAATATCTGAACTGATGTGTGTATGGGAATGTTCTCTGTTTACATAATGCTCTTTGGGACATTTCTGGCTATTGTGTTTATGCTTAATGCTTAAAATTCCTTGGTACAAAATCTGTTTGATTGGTAGGTATACGGTTAATTCAAGTCTATTTATGAGTTAGTATGAATCTGAATTCTGGATTGATATAATCTGAAAATTTTATTTCTAATTGTCTATGTCTTAGTGCAAATTCTTTAGAATTTTAAGTACATTTACTAAAATTTAGATTTTGTAACTCTCTTCAATTTGTAAATATTCAGAATTGATGGTGTATGGGATTGTTCTCTGTTTGCATGATTCTTTTTGGGACGTGCTTGGTTAGTGTGTTTCTGCTTAATGCTAAAATATCCTTTAATACAAAATCTGCTTGATTGAATGTGTCTGAATTGTGGATTAATATAATCTGAATTTTCATTGCTAATTGTCAATCATCTAGTGCAGATTCTTTGGAATTTTGAGTATATTTACAAAAATTTATATTTTCTAACTCTTCTATTTTCTTAATGTTTGGTTGATTTTTACATTGGAAGAATTAAGCCCTCAACATATTAATTATTTCTTTAAAGATGATTCAATTTATCCATATGTTGTAATTTGATTACTACTAATGAGTTTCATTGATTTGGCATATTTATGCCATTCACCTTGCTTATGGAGATGAACTATGTGGGAGCCAGATGGATCCTCTGGTATAAAGCATTAATGTTCAAGATCTGTTATTTATTTATTTTTCCATGTATTTTTTTTATCCTGAATTGTATGGTTCAATTTGTGCTTAAGGGTTGGAGTTTGTCAAGTATTTAATTTTACACAAACTCATCATTTCACAGTATACATGCATGGTACTCAATATTCATCGTATAAGCAATATCACTTGTGGATTTTTTTTTAAAGAAAAAAAAAAAAGTAATGTCACTGCATAGAATAAGTTTTGATAATCTATTT